TCTTCGTGAGAGTGGCTTTGGGAACACTTCTAGAGCGATTCGGCCCGGTGAATGTGCAATGTGGGCTCATGTCCTTTGGGGCCTTTTGGGTGTTTATGGCAGCAGCGATCACAGCGCCATGGAACTACACCCTCATCAGGTTCTTCATTGGCTGCGCAGGTGCCACCTTCGTTACCAACCAATTCTGGTGCTCGCTCATGTTTGCTCCGAACGTGGTAGGCACAGCCAACGCTACAGCAGCGGGCTGGGGCAATTTGGGTGGTGGCGTCACGCAAATTTTTATGATGTCGGTATTGTTTAATCCCATGGTCGAGTCGGGCTTGGAGCCAAATGTGGCGTGGCGAGTTTCCATGGTGGTGCCGGCCATCATGTTTGTGATCTGCGCTGTTTGCATGAAGCTCTTGTGTTGCTGGTCTGCATATCAAAAATTTTGAAGTTCAAAACGTGGGTTCATTTTGTTGCACTTGTATTGTAGTTGATTACAAAGGCTGGGATATGCCAACCGGCAAACATTACGATCCGGCAATCACCGGGAAAACGCAAAAACCCAGCATGTGGGAGTCTTGGATGAAATCAGCGGCATGCAGGAAATGAACTTTTTGTTTGTGTTGTCTTCATTCGGCCAGCTGACGCCAGCATGCGAAGACGTACCAACCCAGGACTACATCGAGGTTCTCAAGGATATTCGAGTCGTGATTATGATCTTCCAATACAGTGCCTGCTTTGGAAGCCCCGCAGCAATCAAGTTCCTGCGTAGCCGTGTGTGGGATTGCAAGCCCAATTCCACTTGCAACTAGTCATGAAATTCCAAGCAGGTGTTTTGAACGTGTTCAATTCTGTTTGTCTTGGCAACTGAGGAACCGAGCTTGCTATGCAGCCAGGTTGCACGTAATGCCCAATTGGCAAAGCCCCATTGCAGACAAATTTAGGGGCCATCAACATCATGCGTAGTGCGTACGACTTTGTAGGACAGTCATGTGAAAGGTCCAGCGCTTAGTGATTGAGAGGGCATTGCCAAGATGCAGTCAATAGTTTCGATCATGTTGAGACTGGATGCATGCCAATACTTGCAAGCCGGGCCTGTGTGATGTGTTAGATTCCATTTTGCATGCTGCGCACAATGGCCAAGGAACAACCAGCTGGCGACACATTTCAGGACTTACTTCCAGATGGCGGCAGGTGATGCGTCGGCTCTGGCTGGAGCGTTCGGACTCATGAACCTGGCTTGGGCTTATTGATGTTTATCGTTTTTCTGTTAGGTTCATGCTGTTGTGTCTTGACGGTTTGTGGTAACAGGGTAAGGCTACGTGCAAGTCTTGTTTCGCCGGGTTGAAACATTCCAAATTGGCCAACCAAGGAACCTTTTTGCTCGATCCCTTGGCGGAATCACTAGCGACCTGATGTACAAGCACTTTGCGTTCCGCGGGCGCATTTGGGCCCAGTTCTTGGCGCTTTTCTTCGAAGCGTTGTTCCTGTTCGCGTTCGGCAATGTCGATAATTCCCAACCTTGGTATGTGGCATTGGCCGTGCTGGTGTGCTTCTCCCTGTTTGTCCAGATGGCCGAAGGGACTTCGCCGCTTGGCTGCTCATCCACACGCGTTCCATTGTTAATTGTTTCGATCGACATCAATTGGATTGCCCTATTGCCAGGTACGGTATCGTGCCGTTCATGAACAGGAAACAACTCGCGGTAGTGTCTGCGCTTGTGGGAGCTGGAGGGAACCTTGGTGCAGTGATCGCGGGTTTCTGCTTCTACAAGCCCATCCAGGACGCTTGCAAGGGTTTGCTGTTAGGTGATGGCATAAAGATAGTCTAAACGTGTTCCATGGTAACTATCATCGTCAGGATGCATTGACGCCATTCAAAGTCCACGCCGGTTACGTCATGTTCTGGGCGTTGCTGAGCCCGTGCTACTACTGGTCCGAGTACGGCGGGATGTTTGTGGGCCCAGCAGCAACCTCCGAAAAGAGCAAAGGCCAGATCAGCGACTCCGAGATGTCAACAGAGGCACCAAGTGAGCGCTGTTAGTCGATTCCAGCATTCAGAATGTCGTGTTAACGAGTCGAGAAGCTGCCCTATGCATGGAGTGCAAGGACGGCCCAGGGTTGTGAGAGACGCTCGCCACGCAAGAGACCTGGCAGGGCG